AAGAATACGTGTTAGAAAGTGCTACATTAAATTAATAATATCTCGAAATTTCGCAGGGTGAGCGATATAAATAATTATTTCATTGGATTCAGTAGATTTTTAAATATTAAATTCATTTTGTCTTGGTTCAGGAACTGTCGCGAGGGAGCCTCCTTAATCAGCAAAAAATCTTTTTTTCTGACGTGCCGCACTGCAAAAATTAATTTTTTTCTTCTATCGATAAATTTTTACTGTTTTTCGTAGAAAATTTAATGTAAAATACGACGAATATATGTAGAAAGGTTAGAAAACTGGTTAGCATTGTGAAAAAAAGATTTTAATATTTAAATTGTTAACAAGTATTTGAACTCGTTAATATTTTTTATTAAAAATATTTTATTATTTAAATTAAATCCTTCAGCCACTGGACCTGCCACAAACGCTTGCCCTTCGTCTTTGTCCAAGAAAACCACTGGCCATTCATAGTGATTTTTTGATACACAATTTTCACTTTTCCTTATGCAATTTTCTGCCACCTTACTTATTCTGCTTATTTGTATTTTAGCTTATTTTTTTTCATCCATGTAACCATTGCTCAAATAAATGTCAGATCCTTGCGAGCAATATTTTTTTTTCGCTTGTTTTTATTTGTATTGAAAACTTTTTATTACTTATAGCCATTCTCCTGCCATACATCTGGTGCTTTTAATTTTTATTTGTCTCTACAAATAAGTGCCTGGTATATTTATGATTTTATTTTCCATTCCATTTCCAACTGTTCGAAACCATCTGACAAGCACATTATTTTTTTTACTTTACCTGTCTTCTATTTTATATATAACCTTATTTATCATCACTACTTTGAATTAATATATACTGCTCACTGTATAACGTATTTATTCAAGTTCCCATTCAGAAATGGCTTTCCTAAATGCTTTTTTTTTTTTTTTTTTTTCCTTTCTGTTTTAGATACAGTCTTCTCCATCTTCTTCGATACGATCATCGTTCCATAGCATTGCTATCCATCCTTCTGCTTTTCTAAACTTATTCAAAGTTCTGCTATCTTGGATACAAATTCTTAAATGTGCACTACCACTGAAAGCCTTGAGCTCTCTTTTTCCTTAGCATATTTATGATACTTTTTTTACCAGCTCTTTTTTTCTTACTTCTATCGATAGTTTTACTTCCTTCATGGCCGTTTCTATATCCCCTTTCTCCTTTAGTAACTCCAGTATTGTCCTCTCTAACTTTTTAATTCTTTCTTTGAACAATTTGCTGAAAAGTTTATTTATTTCATCCCCATCCTTGCTTTTGTCTAAGTGAATGACCTTTTCCGCTTTGATACATTTAGATTACTCTTTATAGTTTTCCAAGGTCGAATTCACCAGTAAAAACACTTCTTTAAAGACACATTCTTCTAGCTTGCTTTCTTTACCTTGTAACGTTCTTGGTTCTTTCTTACAGTCTTCAAGCTCTTCATTCATATTTCCTCACTTCTCTTTCACTATCGAATGCATAATTTTGTTTTTATTTCTAGTAAAGCTGATTTCAAACTTGATAATGTCTCTTTTCATAACATTTTTCATCATATGTGCTGTTCTGTCAACTTTCCATCTTTTCCTTTCTTCGGCTAGTCTCTTCTTCTCTTAGTTTTTTCCTTTTCTTGTTCTTTCTTGCCATCGTTGGTCTGAAGAGACGTTCTTTCGCCCCTGCTGCTGTCATTCTCACCTAACTTCTGGGATCGACATTTTTAACATGACTTTCTGCGGACTTAGCTTATTTCCTTTTAATGCACTCATTCACACTTATTGCTCATACTCTATTATTGAGCACTATTCTTTACTTTTAAATCAATACTAAATGACTATTTGTTCTTGAAAGTTTTTAAAAAACTGCACACCTTGTTTCATCTTACCCCTACAGCCCCACATTTGGCGTGTACGCTTTTTTTGTATTGAAATATTAAATCTCCGAGATAGGATGGATATATCACTATGCTTTTTTTTATCTTACAGATAATTAATACTTGATACATAGAAAAACTATATTCAATGAAATAACATTGTTATAAACAACTATAATTTATTATAAATATTGTAAAAATTACCAGAAAAAATAAAACTCGTTATAAAATCTCTATTTCCCATATAATTATTTTAAAATTTACCATAGAGTAATTTTTGGGGTCGATGATTACGATTCTAAGGTTAGTTCTTGTAATTTGCTATAAGCAATTAAATAACAATTATTACTGGTGTTGCAATCTTATTATACATTTATTTGGACATGTTTGTCCCAAAAATTGGATCGACAATTTTGAATTTCATACATGCAACTTCTTTCACGCAAGTTCTAGCCTAGACCATACATGCCTGTATTGGAGACAATAGGATGTGAAAATAACTAATTACGCACGTTTATTAATATAAAATATTAATTTTAATTTTTTTCTTCGAAAAAATCCATAAAATTTTTGTTTATATTTAATCGGCTGTTTCGTAAAATATGAGTCTCACCTTAAATTTAGTATAAGTAACTTGCATAATGACAACTATCATAGTTAAAATAAACTTGATGTAAAATTTTTGATATTTGTCCACTATACTAGATCAGCCATTTTAGGTTCACAAGAACTAATGTTAGGATCGTAATTAAAAGCCTCAAAATCGTCAACGGTTAATTTTAGAAAAACTGTATTAAGAAAACAAAAATTTTGAGAAGATTCTCATTTTTTTTAGTTATTTTACCATTGCTTATAATAAATTATAACTTTTTATAACGACTAAACGCTCTTGGCTACAGTTTTTCTGTACATACGAGTATAGTCTAATTATCTAAAAGACGACAAGACTTTACTGATTTTTTATCCTGTCTCAAGATTTATGATTTTAATAGTAAAAAAAAAAACCAACTGGAAGCTGTTTGCGCGTTTATATTTATTAGTAGTATTATAACTTTCAGAGTACATGCAAATTGAAAAAAAATGCTCAATTTACTATTTAT